AGTGCAAAGAAAATGATAGGATGGATAATGAGAACGTTCAAAACGAGAGATGCCAAGCCAATGATGATCCTTTTCAAATCACTTGTTCTCTCTAGGCTGGAATATTGCTGTACACTAACATCTCCATTCAAAGCAGGTGAAATTGCAGATCTAGAGAGTGTACAGAGATCCTTTACTGCACGTATAAGTTCTGTCAAGCATCTTAACTACTGGGAATGCTTGGAAGCACTTGACTTGTACTCGTTGGAACGCAGGAGAGAGAGATATGTCATAATCTACACTTGGAAAATCCTGGAAGGAATGGTCAGATCACTGACAGTGATAAGGATATGTGTGAAATTCTAAATACCTACTTCCTCTCAGTTTTCACCCAGGAAAATACTAGCGATATTCCTGAAATAATAGATTACGTATAACAGGATGATAATCAACTATGTATGATTGCGGTAACTAGTGACATGGTCCTCAGACAAATAGAGAAACTAAAACCTAACAAATTCCCAGGTCCTGATGAACTGTTTGCAAGGGTGTTAAAGGAATGTAAAGAGGAACTTAGCATACCTTTGGCTGCTCTTTTTAATATATCACTACAAACTGGCATAGTGCCTGATAAGTGGAAAATGGCAAATGTAATACCTATTTACAAGGCAGGTGACAGGTCCTTGGCTTCGAACTATAGACCAGTAAGCCTTACCTCCATGGTGGGAAAATTTATGGAATCAATAATTGCCGAAGCAATTCGTAGCCATCTTGACAGGCACAGATTGATTAATGATTCTCAACAGTTTTACAAAGGGGCGTTCCTGTCTTACGAATTTACTAACTTTTTTCACTAAGGTGTTTGAGGAGGTAGATCATGGTAATAAGAACATAAGAACGAAGAAACACTGCAGAAGGCCTACTGGCCCATGCGAGGCAGGTCCAAGTCTCCTACCGGCTTAAGCCAATGCACCCAACCTAGTCAGGTCAGGTCACATTGACTTAAGGGAGGAACACGGCAACCGACCTGGTAGCACAAGCTATCAGGTCTAACTCACACCCACCCACATCTACTCATGTATTTATCCAACCTATTTTTAAAGCTACACAACGTTCTGGCCTCTATAACGGTACTTGGGAGTTTGTTCCACTCATCCACAACTCTATTACCAAACCAGTACTTTCCTATATCCTTCCTGAATCTGAATTTTTCCAACTTAAAACCATTGCTGCGAGTCCTGTCTAGGCTAGATATTTTCAGCACACTATTTACATCCCCTTTATTTATTCCTGTCTTCCATTTATACACCTCAATCATATCCCCCCTAATTCTACGTCTTTCTAGAGAGTGCAGATTCAGGGCCCTTAGTCTATCCTCATAGGGAAGGTTTCTGATACATGGGATCAACTTTGTCATCCTCCTTTGTACATTTTCCAGAGAATTTATATCCATTCTGTAATACGGTGACCAAAACTGTGCAGCATAATCTAAATGAGGCCTAACCAAGGATGTATAGAGTTGAAGAACAACCTGAGGACTCCTATTATTTATGCTTCTTGATATGAAGCCAAGGATTCTATTAGCTTTATTGCGAACACTTATGCACTGTTGTCTTGGTTTCAGATTACTGCTAACCAGAACTCCTAAATCTTTTTCGCAATCCGTAATATTAAGATCTACATTATTTAGTTTATATGTGGCATGGTTATTGTCCTGTCCAACATTTAGAACTTTGCATTTGTCTATATTAAACTGCATCTGCCACTTCTCCGACCACTGCATCAGTCTATTCAAATCTTCCTGGAGTGCTCTAATGTCCTCGTCAGAATGAATTCGACGGCCTATTTTGGTGTCATCGGCAAACTTGCCGATGTCGCTCTTTTATGCCCTCATCTATGTCGTTTATGTAGATTGTGAACAGCAGGGGGCCCAACACTGACCCCTGTGGAACACCGCTCGTGACACTTCCCCACTCTGATTTCTCCCCATTTATGCAAACTCTCTGCTGCCTATTTGTCAACCATGCCTCTATCCAGGAAAAAATTTCTCCTCCTATTCCATGTGCTTTAATTTTCCTCAATAGTCTCTGATGTGGGACCCTGTCAAAAGCCTTACTGAAGTCCATATACACAATATCATATTCATTACCATGATCTACCTCCTCAAATACCTTAGTGAAAAAAGTTAATAAATTCGTAAGGCAGGAACGCCCCTTTGTAAAACCATGCTGAGATTCGTTGATTTAATTTATGCTTTTCAAGGTGGCTACGAACTGCCTCGGCAATTATTGATTCCATAAATTTTCCCACTATGGAGGTTAGGCTTATTGGTCTATAGTTCGAAGCTAAGGACCTGTCACCTGTTTTGAAAATAGGTATCACATTTGCCATTTGCCTGGTCGTGGACCGGGCCGCGGGGCTTGATCCCCGGAATAACTCAGGTAACCTCAGGTATCTGGCACCATGCCAGTTTGTAGTGATATGTTGAAAAGATTAGCCAAAGGTGTGCTAAGCTCCTCTTTACATTCCTTTTTACATTGAATACGATATTTATATGGACTTCAGTAAGGCTTTCGATAGAGTTCCACACCAGAGACTATTGAGGAAACTTAGGGCACACAGAATAGGAGGAAAATTTTTTTCCTGGGTAGAGGCATGGCTGACAAATAGACAGCAGAGAGTTTGCATAAATGGGGGCACGTCACAAGTGGTGTTCCTCAGGGGTCAGTGTTGGGCCCGTTGTAAACAATTTACATAAACGACATAGATGAGGGAATAAATAGCGACATAAGCAAATTTGCTGATGACACCAAAATAGGCCCTCCAATTCATTCTAATGAGGACATTAGAGCACTCCAGGATGATTTGAATAGACTGACGCAATGATCGGAGAAGTGGCAGATGCAGTTTAATATTGACCAATGCAAAGTTCTAAATGTTGGACAGTTAAATAACCATGCCACATATAAACTAAATAATGTAGATCTTAATACTACCGATTACGAAAAGGATTTAGGAGTTCTGGTTAGCAGTAACCTAAAACCAAGACAACAGTGCATTAGTGTTCGCAATAAAGCTAACAGAATTCTTGGCTTCATATCTAGAAGTATAAATAATGGAAGTCCTCAGGTTGTTCTTCAACTCTATATATCCTTTGTTAGGCCTCATTTAGACTATGCTGCTCAGTTCTGGTCACCGTATTACAGAATGGATATAAATGCTCTGGAAAACGTACAAAGGAGGATGACAAAGATGATCCCATGTATCAGAAATCTTCCCTATGAGGATAGACTGAGGCCCTGAATCTGCACTCTCTCGAAAGGCGTAGAATTAGGGGGATATGATCAAGGTGTATAAATGGAAAACAGGAATAAATAAAGGGGATGTAAATAGCGTGCTGAAAATTTCCAGCCAAGACAGGACTCGCAGCAATGGTTTCAAGTTGGAAAAATTCAGATTCAGGAAGGATATAGGAAAGTACTGGTTTGGTAATAGAGTTGTGGATGAGTGTAACAAGCTCCCAAGTAGAGTTATTGAGGCTAAAACGTTGTGTAGTTTTAAAAATAGGTTAGATAAATACATGAGTGGGTGTGGGTGGGTGTGAGTTGGACCCGACTAGCTTGTGCTGCTGGGTCTGGTACAGTGCTCCATCCTTGAGTAGCCTCTGGTGTGGAACTCTATCGAAAGCCTTACTGAAGTCCATATACACAATATATTCACTACCATGATCTACCTCCTCAAACACCTTAGTGAAAAAAGTTAGTAAATTCGTAAGACAGGAACGCCCCTTTGTAAAACTGTGTTGAGATTCATTAATCAATCTGTGCCTATCAAGATGGCTACGAATTGCTTCGGCAATTATTGATAACATAAATTTTCCCACTGTGGAGGTAAGGCTTATTGGTCTATAGTTCGAAGCCAAGGACCTGTCACCTGCCTTGTAAATAGGTATTGCATTTGCCATTTTCCACTTATCAGGCACTATGCCAGTTTGTAGCAGAGGTATGCTAAGTTCCTCTTTACATTCCTTTAACACCCTTGCAAACAGTTCATCAGGACCTGGGGATTTGTTAGGTTTTAGTTTCTCTATTTGTCTGAGGACCATGTCACTAGTTACCGCAATGTGTAAGCCTGCAGCTCGACTGATGGTAGCAACTGCCTGATTTATCATGTATTTATTTTAACCAGGGTAAAACGGTAAACCCGTAGGGGTCATTTAGCGCCCGGGGAATGAGTAGCAATCAGGTTTGATCCAAGGAAAAGGGGGGACCTAATTTCCTTGGAGAGAGACTTTCCGGCTTCAGGTATGAAGCTGCTTGAGCAAGGATAGCATGTCAGCCTCTCATCTGGCACACTTGTTCCATGATGGGGAAAGGGTTCCTCCTGTTTCTGGGAAAACGCCAAACCCATATCGGTTGCAAAGCTCCTGGGGAACGCAAGACATTGATTCGATACAAGGGATTATTAACCCTTCACCGGCATAAAGGATTATTCTAATCAAGGGGGGTTGTTGTTATAATCAAGGGGGATCGGCATAAAGGAGCATCCCATTACAATCATTTGGTACACTCAACCCACATGGGTCATTGCCTGAAAAATGGGAGGTTCAAGTTTGATCCAAGGGGAGAGCAGGTGCATTTAAATCAAGAGCTGTTTAATACTGATGGTATACATACTGAAAAGTTGACGAATAAAACACCTGCAACACTTGGTTATCGTAATGTTCAAGTTAGGCTTCTTTGTCTGGACTGATCGCGTCAGTATTATATCATATAAAGCGCTAAACTGACAAGGGTCAATCGTGAAAGTATTACTGCTTCCAGTGCTGAATCCGACTGAAGCCTCTTGTGCAGGCATAGCGTTTCAGCCGTGATTATTATCAAAACTAAGCGCTGAACCACCGAGATGATATAGAGCCGAGTTTCAGCAGTGAAAATACCCAACTGTTAACATTCAACTGTGACAGGCAATAAAAAAAAAAAAAAAAAAAATGTCAAATGAAACGAAGTGAATTATGAAGTTATTTATTAACGTAGAAAAATAAAGTGCTTTGTATTCTCCTAGGAATGTAATTAATGGTAATATATAGTGAGCACGTGTAAAATAGTAGTGGTAGTACTCAGTTACGAATTGTATTACACTAAAGATATGAATAATGCATGAAACTATAATTTTTTTTGTAAAATTAGCAGGAAATACAAATAGAAGGTTGCTTGAAATATGAATAGGTTTTGTCATGGAGCTAAATTCATTATTATCAGTGTAGGATGCATGTTAGGTGTTGCAAACTAGTTTTTTGGGGTATTTGGCATAGACACACTTAATCAGCCTGGAAGGAAATTTGTCTATGGGCATCACTTGTAATAGGCAAAGTTGTTTCTCGAACTCTTGAAAAAACGCATCATAAAGCTCCATGCCCGCAGCTACAGGCATCCTTTTAGTGAACAAGAAGGTCCACATAAAATGTAAGAGTCCATGCATTTTGGAAGCCAGGTAGGGAAAGCGGAATGCCAACGCTAATCCATGCGAAGTCATTCCTCTTATGATGTCAATGCGTTTGACTAGAGTGCAAAACTCCTTCGGTGGCGAGTCCTGAAGACTGATGGGATATGGCTCTGCTCCGACTTTCTGACCACAGGCATTCACATGGTATCCATGACCGTTCATAAGCGCCTCGCCATACAATATGTGTACCATTGGGACGAATAATCCACAAGATAGTCTCTCTCTTAAAATACAAGGCAACGTCTTTGGAGCCTGAATATCATCATGTGAATATCGTCGTCCTTCAATCATAGGATGAAGTCCTAGTATGGCCGCAGCGACAAGGTTGATAGATAGTTTACCATCTTCCGTCAAAAATAAATGCCTCTTTAAACGTGACACCATACAGTCAAACGTCGCTCGAGGAGTGTTTCTCCAAAACTGGGCGAGGAGTGGCGCAAGTGTCTCCATCCATGATGGGAAATGTTTGGAGTCTACGGTCGGGAACAGTTTAAAAGATAGGTCTGCCACTGCCACAGACTCACTGTCTAAAGTGTTTTCAGCTTCAGAGGAACGTAGCATATTGCTTTCTTGTTCCATACTACAGTGTGTAGAATTGAAGTCTGTAACCTCAGTTACAATGTCTTGTGCATTTGGAAGGTGATGCAAGAAACTGCTGTTTGTCGTGATGTCCAACACTTCTGGAGAAATTGTACCACTGCTCAAACACATCGACTCCACGCTGAGACGATCGTTCTCTAAGTCTTCGTGTTCAATAAATTCTTTGTCGTTCTCCATGGCCTGGTGTTGGGAGGGTGGGGGAAAATATGTCAGTTGCAGTTATTTAAGCAAGCCTACAATATATATATATATATATATATATAATATATATATATATATATATATATATATATATATATATATATTAGATGCATATAAAAAGAACAAAAACCACTAGGGTATTAGATGCATAAAAATATATTCCACTGACGTACAATTATTACATGGATAGGAGACGCGTTAAACCCGTTAGGGTCGTACAGCGCCTGGGAATAGGAGGAAATCCGCCTCGTTCCAAGGGAGTCAGGTCACATCCTTGGATAAAGGTTCTGACAGGCCTGGAGGAACCTCCCTTGTGGGACACTGGTGTATAAGATATTGCTCAGTTCACAGCGCTACCCAGTTTGATGTGCTCAGACCCCGACGTTGAGCTCTCGATCCAGGAATTTTCTTTTTTTGGGTACCTGTGATCAAGTATTTTTACCTCCCATTTGCCAGGCAGTGTGTGACCGGTACAGGCTTAAGCTTCCCCATAAATAAAGTAATAAAATACTACTTACTCATGAACACCCGCGCACACCCACCACCTCTGCTGGTCTCGTCCATACTGACGCTGGTTGCATGTGGTCAGCATACTCTTGCCACCATACCCTCATATATCCAGTTATATATTTTTACCTTCTCTTGCCATTTATCTATCGCCGACAAACGTTGGGTATTGCATCGACGACTTTGGAAATACTATAATTATTTGTACAAGTTTCGGAAGCGATTTCACGAGTTATAAAAAAATATTTACGCAGTGGCACCTGTACTCTGATGTTAACAGTTGTTGTTATTATTGTTTTATTTCTTTGTGATATACAAGGAATGTATAAGGTATACATAATTTAGGACAAAAGTAGGCTAAACAAATATTCATAACATCCAGTATTCTTATATTAAAGATTACACATGGGGCTAGTTTCGTACAGGAGTCATATACTCGTGTATGTAATATTATGTGTATGTAATATTATGTGTATGTAATATTATTATTATATTATATATATATAATATATATATATATATATATATATATATATATATATATATATATATATATAATGTCGTGCCGAATAGGCAGAATTTGCGATCTTGGCTTAAATAGCAACGTTCATCTTTCCATATAGGTCAAGTGAAAATTTGTGTATGCAATAATTTCGCCAAAATCATTCTGAACCTAACGAAAAAAATATATTTCACTGTGTTTGCTTAGTATTAAATTATTGTAAACAAATATAAAATATATTTAGTTGGGTTAGGCTAAAATAAATTGCTCTTGTTATAACAAGGTTAGGTAAGTTTTCTAAGAAACCATACCCCGGCCGGGATTGAACCCGCGGTCAGAGTGTCTCAAAACTCCAGCCCGTCGCGTTAGCCACTAGACCAGCTAGCCACAATAAGATTCGTCCAACTAGGTATATTTCTAAACCATAGGAAGGTTAGCACAGGCACCACTGTGACCACAAATGCAAGTTTTTACAGACGAATCTCTAGCTAGCGTGGCCGTGACGAACTCGAGCTCAAGTCCCTTCACTGCCGTCAACATGACTCACGAAATCGTAATGACACAATTGCAAACAAACCATACCCCAGGCCGGGATTGAACCCGCTGTCAGAGTGTCTCAAAACTCCAGCCCGTCGCGTTAGCCACTAGACCACAAACCATACCCCCGGCCGGGGTATGGTTTGTTTGCAATCGTGTCATTACGATTTCGTGAGTCAAGTTTTCTAAGATTCTTCTGGTGCAAAATTAAAATTTTTTACATTAATATTAATGAAAAAAATATATCTTTAAACGTATAAGAGAAAATTTTAGAAAGGACTTAATTTTAAATGAGTTCTTGCTAACTGACCAGTTTTACATATTCGGCACGACATTATATATATATATATAATATATAATTATATATATATATATTTAAATTAATATGTATATAAATTATATATTATATATTATATATGATATATTATTTTAATTTATATATATATATATATAGTTGCCGAATACGTAAATCTGGTCAATTAGCAAACTCGTTTAAACTTAAGTCCTTTCTAAAATTTTCTCATATACTTTTGAAGATATTTTTTTTTCAATGTTAAAGTGAAAATTTTTAATTTTGCACCAAAAGAATCTTAGAAAACTTACCTAACCTTATTATAACAAGAACATATTTATTTTAGCCTAACCCAATATATAATTTAGATTTGTTTACATATAATTTAATACTAAACAGAATGATTTTGGCGAAATTATTGCATACACAAATTTTCGCTTGTCCTATATGGCAAGATATCGTTGCATTTAAGCCAAGATCGCAAGTTCTGGCCTATTCGGCATCGTATATATAATAATAATATATATTATATATATTATATATGCGCAAGGAATTCGCTAGAGCAGGCGAAATATACACAAACACTGATCTCTGGCTGAAGGAGACTCGAACCTACCAACCTTGGAACAAGGTACGCAGTGCTTTAGCAATCTACCCACACTGGACCAATACCTTGGAGTCCAGCTTGCGCTAGACTTTGATCCAAGGCAGCCAGCTTTCAGGGAGAAGGCTTACAGCTTTTCATCTCATCCCCTGCATGCATCAGCCTTACTAGAGATATTAACAATGCAAGGAATTCCCAAGAGCAGGCGATGCATGCAGGGAATGAGATGAAAAGCTGTAAGCCTTCCCCCTGAAAGCTGGCTGCCTTGGATCAAAGTCTACCGCAAGCTGGACTCCAAGGTATTGGTCCAATGTGGGTAGATTGGTAAAGCACTGCGTACCTTGTTCCAAGGTAAGTAGGTTCGAGTCTCCTTCAGCCTGAGATCAGTGTTTATATATATATATATATATATATATATATATATATATATATATATATATATATATATATATTATATATTATATATATGTGTCGTGCCGAATATGTAAAACTGGTCAATTAGCAAGAACTCATTTAAAATTAAGTCCTTTCTAAAATTTTTCTCTTATACGTTTAAAGATATATTTTTTTCATTAATGTTAATGTAAAAATTTTAATTTTGCACCAAAAGAATCTTAGAAAACTTACCTAACCTTATTATAGCAAGAACAATTTATTTTAGCCTAACCCAACTATATATATTTTAGATTTGTTTACAATAATTTAATACTAAACAAACACAGTGAAATATATTTTTTTCGTTAGGTTCAGAAGGATTTTGGCGAAATTATTGCATACACAAATTTTCACTTGTCCTATATGGCAAGATGAGCGTTGCTATTTAAGCCAAGATCGCAAGTTCTGCCTATTCGGCACGACATATATTATATATATATATATATATTATATATTATATATATATATTTTATATATATATATATATATATATATATATATATTATATATAATTATATATAATGTGTGTGTGTGTATGTAACCAATATATATTGGTTACGTTAAATAAGTTAAAACTTAGCGGGACTGGGCTAAAACAGCATATGTTGTTCAATCATTGATGCCTACGACAATAACAGTGACAAGAGAATATCGATTTCACGATTTTTGTTAAGCAACCTTATAAGATTATTCTGTATTTTAGAATAGAAAGTTCAGTATGCTTTCATAAGGTAAACAAATATTAAAGCCCAAAACGTCTTCAAACTGCAAAAAGTTGTGTGGGGTAGAGCTCATAACTCTACCCCATATGTTTTCAAAAGTGACAAGTCCAGTTCTTAAGATCAAGACCCCCGTCCTCACAGGATTCAAGGTACTGATATTAAAGGAAATGGTTTATATGAAATGAAATCTTAAATATTAAAAAGTTGTAATGAGTTAATGGGGTTTAAGGCCTGTTGGCTACAAGACTAATGAACGAGAAATCCATTATCTTAAGGAGAGTGAAGGCCTTACGCTATGGCTTTCTCAGCTCCGCCTTCAGGGAAATCTTTCTCGTGTTTCCTGTTCTCGAGTAGCTCGGAGACGTCCAACCTTGACGGTCCTCCCACCTACCAGCTCCTCTGCTACCATGTCTTCTGGGGTCACCCCCGTTTCTAATTCTTTTGCAGTTTTATCCTGAGACTCCTACCTCTGTGCCTCTTCCTGCTGCTTCTACTTCATTTCACTCGCTAGTTTCTCAGTCTACGAGATCACGCAAGCCTACACCCTCTTCATGTCTATCACCTGTGAAGTTGAATCTACCTTCTACCTCGGTGACTAGTTCTCACCCCGTTTCTAACACGAAAGTGCAGGTTCACCCCCTCATATAGTCCCCTCTTCTCCTGTTCGTCCCCCTTCCCCCGTCTTCTTCCCTAGTTACCTTCCAATCTCCTCCCTCTCCTGTTCCACTGCAGGACTCTTCTGCCCCCACCAGTGCATCTTTCCAGGCTCATACTCCCCGCCCTTCTCAGACCTCTTTGATTGCCTCCGTAGTTACCCCAGTCTCTACTTGCTCTACCTCACCTGTCTCTGAAATCATCGTGTTGGCATCTTCCTTATCTGCTGAGACACTTGACGCTATCTCCAACTATACTGCGGAGACGAAACCCTCAATGAACACCGATGTACTTCTTCTAACCGTTCTTTTTCACAAGGTCCTAGATGCACTAGAAGACAAAAAGAATGCAGATGTAATATATACAGACTTTGCAAAAGCCTTCGACAAGTGTGACTATGGCATAATAGCGCATAAAATGCGTGCTATAGGAATAACAGGAAAAGTTGGTAGATGGATCTATAATTTCCTCACAAACAGAACACAAAGAGTAGTAGTCAACAGAGTAAAGTCCGAGGCGGTTATGGTGAAAAGCTCTGTTCCACAAGGTACAGTACTCGCTCCCATCTTGTTTCTCATCCTCATATCTGAACTAGACAAGGATGTCAGCCACAGCACCATGTCTTCCTTTGCAGATGACACCCGAATCTGCATGACAGTGTCTTCCTTTGCAGATGACACCCGAATCTGCATGACAGTGTCTTCCATTGCAGACACTGCAAGGCTCCAGGCGAACATCAACCAAATCTTTCAATGGACTGCAGAAAACAATATGAAGTTCAACGATGAGAAATTTCAATTACTCCGATATGGTAAAAACGAGGAAATTAAATCTTCATCAGAGTACAAAACAAATTCCGGCCACAAAATAGAACGAAAAACCAACGTCAAAGACCTGGGAGTGATCATGTCGGAGAATCTCACCTTCAAAGACCATAACATTGTATCAATCACAGCTGCTAGAAAAATGACTAGGGATGCCAAGCCCATGATGACACTCTTCAGGTCCCTTGTTCTATCTCGGCTGGAATATTGCTGCACACTAACAGCACCTTTCAAAGCAGGTGAAATTGCTGACCTAGAAAATGTACAGAAAACCTTCATGGCACGCATAACGGAGATAAAACACCTCAATTACTGGGAGCGCTTGAGGTTCCTAAACCTGTATTCCCTGGAACGCAAGCTGGAGAGATACATGATTATATACACCTGGAAAATCCTAGAGGGACTAGTACCGAACTTGCACACGAAAATCACTCGCAATGAAAGCAAAAGACTTGGCAGACGATGCAACATCCCCCAAATGAAAAGCAGGGGTGTCACTAGCACGTTAAGAAACAATACAATAAGTGCCAGGGGCCTGAGACTGTTCAACTGCCTCCCAGCATACATAAGAGGGATCACCAATAGACTCCTGGCAGTCTTCAAGCTGGCACTGGACAAGCACCTAAAGTCGGTACCTGACCAGTCGGGCTGTGGCTCGTACGTTGGATTGCGTGCAGCCAGCAGTAACAGCCTGGTTGATCAGGCTCTGATCCACCAGGAGGCCTGGTCACAGACCGGGCCGCGGGGGCATTGACCCCCGGAACTCTCTCCAGGTAAACTCCAGGTACAAT